TGGAGACCCCTTAGAGGGGTGTCCCTTATTGAGCAGAATGCAGACTGGACCTCAGTTCTCACTCACTCACCCCACCCCCCGGCCGTGGGCTCTTGTGCAGTGCACATCCTGCACAGCCTTCTGTGAAGACCCTGTTGTCAGGTACCCCGCCCCCCCGCCGCCACCCTTCCTTCAGCCCTCTTCTCCTTCCATCTGCCCGTTTACCTCTTCTAAACGTTTACGTGGACAGCATATAGGCTGATAACAGCTATGTTTACTCTTGTAGCCATAGTTAAGTCTTCCATGCTTTGTCCATCTGTTGACTCTAAAAGTTGAAACTCAATTAACAGTGTTTACCTTGTATATTGTGACTACATAAATAGCCCTCATTGCAGACCTAGGAATCACTAAGATTGCATTTCCTTTCTTAGATGATTTTTGATTACCTTTTGAAAAACCATATCTGATACATTCATGGGATCATAAGAATTTTTTTTAAGATTTTATTTATTTGACAGAGACAGAGCGAGAGAGGGAACACAAGCAGGGGGAGTGGGAGAGGGAGAAGCAGGCTTCCTGCCGAGCAGGGAGCCCGATGCGGGGCTCGATCCCAGGACCCTGGGACCATGACCTGAGCCGAAGGCAGACGCTTAACCGACTGAGCCACCCAGGTGCCCTGAAAGCCTGTGTCCTTAACCACACGTATCACCGCCTCCACAGAGTAAGCCAACTCTGGTGGGATTCAAACTCACATCCCAAATCCGAGAGGCTTTTTCCTCAGGAGAATTCCCAGGGTCTCTCCTCTCCCAGAAGCCGCTATAATCAGGCTGCCCCAGGTGACTCAGATCTATTTTCCTGTAACTTAAAGGGAGGTTAGGAAAAAAAAAATTTCAGCTTGTGGGGCACCTGGCTGGCTCAGTCGGTAGAGCACACGACTCTTGATCTCGGCACTGTGTGGGTTCAAGCTCCACGTTGGGTATAGAGATTACTCAAAAAAATAAAATCTTAAAAAAAAGAAAGATTTCAGGTTGTGTGACACCCGCCCGGCCTTATCCTATGTCCTTCCCCTTCCGGTGCTGAGGGGAAAAAGAAGGGAAGTACAGAGAAGAGGGAAGGGAATGGCAACTGTCCACCGGAAGTGAGTGGAGGTGGGAGGGAGGGGAAGGGGGTAGGTGAAGCCGTGAGAAGAAGACATTTCCAAAGCACAACAGAGGGAGGCTGTTTCCCTGGGGACAAGCATCTTCTCCCTCCTGCTCCATCTGTCAGCATTTGGGGGTGAGGTCAGGGGAGAGGACCTAGGAAGAGAAGGGGACACCCTCAGAAACCACAGCTCTTAGGAGTGGGGCTGCCACGGTGGGCCCCTCCCCCACCCCTCAGGAATATTCCGTGGCAGTTAGGGGCCCTGTCCTACTGAATGGGTTGTTCTTTCCCAGACCCCAGGCCCTGCTGTGGCGCCGGGTGCTCTGCTGGATAGAAATATTTAGAAGATGAGGGACGCCTGAGCCCAGCAAGAGAAGGGGGAGATGGGGTGGAGGGGAGAGGGGGAGGCAGGGGTTGCTCAAGAGGGGGGCAGGGGACTTTAGGGATGAGTTCCCGGGGTCAGGGGGAGGAAGGGATGAGCACCAGACACTTGGAAAGGAAGTCGGGTGCTGAGAAGCAGGATGGGGCAGAGGGAAGTCTGGAACAAGAAGAGTGGGTAAAGAACTCACTGTCTGAGCCCAGAAGTAGCCGTGAGGCGCTCAGGGATTACAGCTCAGAGCCCCGGAAGGTCTCCATGTTGCCCCTGTGGTGGAGAATTACACACAGCTCCCGCTGGATAGCGCAGGTCCTGGCCTCAGAGCTCAGCCTGGTTGCCTTTGCCCTGCTGCTGGTCATGGTCTTCTCCAAGAAATGGCTGTGCCTCTCTCGAAGCCGCTTCTACCAGCGCTGGCCCACCAATGTCAGCACCAGAATCTACACGGCCGCTCACATCATGTCCATGGGGCCCCTGCGGATCTGCAAATCCAAGAGCTGTTCCAACTCAGAAAATTGGAATGGTGAGACCCTCCCCACCCCCATCCCACCCCAGGGCTCCAGTCTGGCTTGGTCACTCCGTGCCCTTGTCCCCTCCTTCGGGTCATCCCCAGTGATCTGGCCTGCAGGAGGGCTTCACTGGAGGAGACCACCGAGGACCGGTCTTCCTGCCCCCATCCATTCTGTCCAAACCGCTTTGCCTGACTCAGACCATTGCTTTTGCGAAGACTCAGAGCCTGGTCTGTGGCTATAACAAGGCTGCGAGGGGCGAGGACTCTCAGTGCCGGTGAATCACTCCTTAATCACACAACTCCCCCTGTTCTATGGGGAGAAGAGCCCCAGCGAGGTGGGGATTGTCTTCCTCTAGGCTTGTGTACCTCAAGCTTCCAGTTTCAGGAGGAGCCCCCAGGTCGCTCTCCCTCCCCGGCCCTGGTCCCAGCCCCTTCTCCTCCCTTCTGCCTCAGGCCTTGCTTTTCTGGGCCCGCTCTGGGTTTTCGGGTCTGGTTTCCTCCTTCCTTCTTTCCCAGCCTCTCGCGGCCCCTTCATGGCCAGTTCCTGAACTCAGTACTCCATGCTCTCCCGCACCTCCCAGCGTCGGGCCTCCTTGCTCAGCTCTTGTGCGAAACCAGAACCTTCTAGCTCCGTGATCCCCATTCCGTGTCTTCACTCTTGTTAACAGTAAAAAGATAATAATAAAAATAAAAGTTACGCGGCTCTTGTTTCTTCCATTATGAGAGAAATGCATCTTTCTCGCAATAAATTTGGGGAAACAAAAAGCTATCATTTATTGCATACTTATTCTATTTGCTCAATAGATCCTCAACCAACCCTAAGGAATAGGGATGATCACCCTTCCTGTTCAGATGACAACGTTGAGACTCAGATAAAGTACCTTGCTGAGGGTCAACATTTGACTGTTTTTCACCTACAAAGAGAGCAGGTTTAGAATTCTAATACAGGCGTGTCTGGCTCCAAGACTCACGGAGGCACCTGCCTTGCTCCAACCGAGCTCCTCAAAGACCAGCCCCAGGCACTCAAGTTTCTGCTAGCCTTTAAAAAAAAATTTTTTTTAACAAGTTTTGAACGGTTCTCACACAGCTGTACTCATTCTTCATAAATAACCTTATATCTTTTAAAATATTTTAAGTATTCAATTTATATTGTTTAAAAATTTATCTTTGGGGTGCCAGGCCGGCTTAGTAAGGCAGAGGGTGTGACTCTTGATCTCGGGGTTGTGAGTTTGAGCCCCATGCTGGTTGTAGAGATTATTTAAAAACAATTTAGGGGCGCCTGGGTGGCTCAGCCCAGGGTCCTGGGATCGAGCCCCATGAGCCCCACGTTGGGCTCCCTGCTCAGCGGGGAACGTGCTTCTCCCTCTTCCCTCTGCTCCTCTCCCCACTCATGTTCTCGCTCTTGCTCACTCTCTCAAATAAATAAATAAATAAAATCTTATAAAAATTTAAAAATCTCTAAGGAAATTTATCTTTATGAGATGCAGTAAATGTTTCCCAATTATAAGTTAATAGATATATATATCAACTAAATAGATTGTCATCTTTTACTTGAATTTTATTTTTCTATTCTTGGTAAAATTTATTTTTCAATGTCATATTTGCAAAAAGAAGGAGAAACAAAATTTGTTAATGACTTTTTTTTTCTGTGTTTAGTATTAATTCTTTGGTATTGATTTCCCAAAGTGGCTTTACTGGATGGAAGAGTTAAATATTTTAAGGTTCTTCATAAAATGTTCCATGTTACTTTCAAAAAGTGTGATAGCAATTTACCTTTCCACTAACAATGCACAAGAAGGCTGGTTTTATTGTATCTTTGTTGGCAACAACTGTTAATTCTAAATATATAAATAGATAATTTTTTCTGATAAAAAAAGTTAGTTGCATAGTTAGTTACTGTGGGAAATGTGGAACGTTTAAGAAAGAAAATAAAACTGACCTAAAATTTGCTTATATAGATATAATCACAGTTGGCATTGCCAATGGATTTACTTCCAGTCTCTTGTGTGTGTGTGTGTGTGTGTGTGTGTGTGTGTGTGGGTGTGTGTGTGTGTGTGTATGAGATATCTATAAATACAAATACACATATACAAATAAACATATATTTATTTGTATTTTGATAAATGTATATATTTATATTTTCAAAACCACAATTCTCCATGCTCTGTGTTGCAAACTCCCCTCTGCAGTTCTAGGTATTTATTCCTGTCCTTAATATTTCTATAACATGGGCGCCTGGGTGGCTCAGTTGGTTAAGCGACTGCCTTCGGCTCAGGTCATGATCCTGGAGTCCCGGGATCGAGTCCCGCATCGGGCTCCCTGCTCGGCAGGGAGTCTGCTTCTCCCTCTGACCCTCTTCCCTCTCGTGGTCTCTATCTCTCATTCTCTCTCTCTCAAATAAATAAATAAAATCTTTAAAAAAAATATTTCTATAACATCATGAATATTTAAGATTTATTTGATTAGGTAGTATGTGAATGGAGTGGAAATGGAAGCAAAATGAAAGGTGACATGGGGGATGCCTGGGTGGCTCAGTCATTAAGCGTCTGCCTTCAGCTCAGGTCATGATCCCGGGGTCCTGGGATTGAGCCCCGCGTCGGGCTCCTTGCTCAGCAGGGGAGTCTGCTTCTCCCTCTCCCACTCCCCCTACTTGTGTTCCCTCTCTCCCTGTGTCTCTCTTTGTCAAATAAATAAATAAATAAATAAATAAATAAATAAATAAATAAAATAAAAAAAGATGACACAGCGAAGGGAGCCCCCTACTCCTGGTTCCTTGTTTCTTTCGTGACATCTTCTGTTTGGAGATAAACATCTATCATATCATTTTTATTTTTTTATTTTTTTTTTTAAAGATTTTATTTATTTATTTGACAGAGATAGAGAGAGAGCACAAGTAGGCAGAGAGGCAGGCAGAGGGAGAGGGAGAAGCAGGCTCTCCACCGAGCAGGGAGCCCGATGCGGGACTCGATCCAGGGACTCCAGGATCATGACCTGAGCCGAAGGCAGTTGCCTAACCAACTGAGCCACCCAGGCGCCCTATCATATCATTTTTAAAAAAGGTTTATTTAGAGGTGCCTGGTGGTTCAGTTGTTAAGCATCTGCCTGTGGCTCAGGTCATGATCCCGGGGTCCTGGGATCGAGCTCCACATCCGGCTCCCTGCTAAGCGGGGACTCTGCTTCTCCCTCTCCCACTCCCCCTGCTTGTGTTTCCTCTCTTGCTGTCTCTCTCTCTCTCAAATAAATAAAAGAGATTTACTTATTTATTTGAGAGAGAGAGAGTCAGGGGGCGGGGCAGAGGGAGAGGGAGAGAGAATCTCAAGTAGACTCCCTGCTGAGTGCAGAGCCTGACACGAGGCTCAATCTCACAACCCTGAGATCATGACCTGAGCCAAAACCAAGCGTCGGACGCTTAATCGACTGTGCCCCGCAGGTGCCCCCATATCATTTTTTTAAAAAAAGATTTTACTTGTTTGACAGAGAGAGAGAGACAGTGAGAGAGGGAACACAAGCAGGGGGAGTGAGAGAGGGAGAAGCAGACTCCCCTGCTGAGCAAGGAGCCCGACGCAGGGCTCCATCCCAGGACCCCGGGATCATGACCTGAGCCTAAGGGAGACGCTTAACGACTGAGCCACCCAGGCGTCCCCCTCCCATGTCATTTTTTAATGAACACATAATAATCCAACGAATGGGTCCAATACATTTAACAAATCTCTCCTTGGACATATAGGTATCTGTGCAGAGAAGATCCCTGCACACAGACTTAGTGCTGCTCTTGGATTATTTCCTTACCATAAATTCCAAGAAGCATTGCCAAGTCAAAGGGTCTTAACCTTTTACATTATTTCTGATATTTTGTGCCAGGTCACTCATTGGAAATGCTGACCTGTGGTAATGTGTGAGAGCACCTCTTCTCTCTAAATCCTTTCCTATACCAGGTGTCATCAATTTTGTCTTGATCTTTGCTGATTTGATAGGTTAACAAATCACATTTACTTGGCAATTCTTTGTATTGAGCTTCATGTGTATATGGGACTTCTGTATTTCTTCTTTTGAGAATCACACTCCAAGTCCTCTGTTTTTCATTTTCGTATGGTTGGGATTATCAAACAATCTCCATATCAATCCTTGCTTATTTAATGAGTGAAAGTGATACTTCATTGTAATCTCACAGGTGCACTTCTGGGGCACTTGGGTGGCTCAGTCGGTTAAGCGTCTGGCTCTTGATCTTGGCTCAGGTCCTGATCTCAGGGTCGTGAGATCGAGCCCTGCATTGGGTCCCCCGTGCTCAGTGAGGAGTCTGCTGGTTTTTCTCTCTCAGTCCCTCTGCCCCTCCCCCTGCAAGTTCTCTCTCTCTCTCTCAAATAGATAAATCTTTTTTAGAAATGTGCATTTCTTTAGTTAACCTTTTCTCATGTCATTCTATGATATACTTTTTCTCCTTTGTGAATCCTAAGTTCGTCCCGTTTTCTCATTTTCTCCAGATAGTTTTAAGCTGTGGACAAATCACCCAATCTTCGGGGTGGCCATGCTAACTTTCTGGCTGGCGCTGGTGCTGGGCCTTATCTTCACCATCTGGTTGCACCTGCCGTACCTACCTGGTCTTCAGAGACTGCCCTTCTTTAGCTGGGTTGGGACTATCATGAGCTTCTTTGAAGGTACCCCCTGGCTCTAGAAAATGCTCCTAAGTTTCTCCCAAAACACATCTTCTTGGGTACTTTTCCCTCTTCCTTTCTTTGGGGGTGGGGTAGGGGTTTGGTGGGTGGTGGCTGAACAAAACTGGTGGTCCTTGAGAACTGAGCTCCACCGTTTCCTCTTCCCTGGAGAGGTGGGGTTGGAGGGGTTGATCGTGGTTTGTGGCTGTATCCCAGCAGATGAGGGAGAATCTCTGTGGGGTCCTCAGGTAAGAATAAGATCTCTCCTGTCCCTGTCTCCTAGTCATCCTTATTTTCTTCACCCTGATGTTGTTCCCTATTAACCTCTGGATCTTTGAGTTGAAGAAGAATTTATCAATCCCCATCGGCTGGAGCTATTTCACAGGCTGGCTGGTGTTTGTCCTCTATGTCACCTGTGGTGAGTGGCCTGAGGGCCCTGGGCAGGAGGGGACATGGGTGGCTCGGGGCAGAGGAAGTGTGCAGGGAGGGGGGCTGGTAACCCCCAAGGACATGTTCTTAGGGATTTATCTTCCCTTTGGCCTCACCTCGCTGGCCACTTTCTTCTGGTTCTCCAAATTTCCTCTGCCCCATCCCTTTGTGCTTTTCCAGCAGCCCTCTGCTACTTCAACCACCAACACTTCTGGAGGGTGATTATGAACCGTCCCTGTGGCACCGAGTTCTGCAGCAACCGCTCCCGCCTGCTACCAAACTTGCTGAAGAAGCCGCTTGTCTCACATGCCTCTGTCACCCAGAGGGAAGTCCCGGATCCTGAGCAAAAGAAGGCATCTCCGTAACCTTGTCGGAAATCCTGCCCATTCATCTGCATCCCTGTCCTCATCCTTTCTCACAGCCTTGGGGGGCGGGTGGCCTTCATCACTGCAAGGAGTTAGAGAGGGAGGATATTACTTCTCCTCCTTGTTCCTGCTTGCTTACTGTTTGGGTGATGGGGAATAAATGGTCTCTTGTTTATCATGTCTGGCTGTTGTTGAGACAAGACAACAACTTGAAGGAGGAGAGGGAGGGACAAAGAACAACTTTGTTTCCCAATTGTTCCTCCTCAGGAGACTTTTGGCACCCTTTGGTTCCCAGAAGTGCCCAATCTCTCCCATAGCACACGGGAGTTTTGTTCACCCACCACCCACCAAACCCTTACCCCACCCCCAAAGAAAGGAAGAGGGAGAAGTACCCAGGAAGATATGTTTGGGGAGAAACTAAGGACCATTTTCTAGAGCCAGAGGGTACCTTCAAAGAAGCTCATGATAGTCCCAACCCAGCTAAAGAAGGGCAGTCTCTGAAGACCAGGTAGGTACAGCAGGTGCAACCAGACCGCAGTAGGTGTGCCCACGTGTGTTACGATCCCAACAGTTGTTAGTAGGTAAAGGGAAGTGATCAGGGGAGAGAGATCACTTAGGAGTGAGTTGGTTTATTCAGAGTGAACAGCCCAAGAGCAAACAGGCCCAAGGTAAGAGGCAGGTTACCTGGGGTGCGGCTGTCCTGTGTGCATTGGGCAGCAGTCCCACTTTCTGTGTCCAGAGCAGGTGACTGAGAAGTCCTAGAGCCCTGTGACTGGGTACCCCCAGCACCACCTCCACCTCCATCACACCTCCACCACCATCTTCACCTCCACCATCACTACCACCGGTTCCATGGTGTAGTGGTTAGCACATCTGCCTTACACTATCACTACCACCTCCACTACTACCACCTCTACTCCCTGGTTGCTATTGCTCTCCACCCAAGCCTCCCATGTTCTCCATCCTGTAAGAGCAGGAAGAAAATATGACAAGGAGGAAAACCTTAGAGTCGGGCCCTAAGCTCAAGAGACAGATTGCACCTTTGGGTTATAACCCGAGTCTCATGAACGCGTGCAGCACCTGCCTTGGGTAGCACTGGCAATGACTATCGGGATTCAGACATCCTGCACAGAAAGGCTGGCCGCCCAAGAGAGCAGCTGTGACTGCTTTTTGTCATATCTCTGCAGATGGAGCCATCATGCCAGCCAGCTAGAGGAGGGAAGGGACAAATTATGAGCGGATTGGATATGTTAAACTATATATATTATTAGGTTGAAACATATATGATACTGCTGTTTTAGCAGTTAAATGCTGGTGATTTCATATGGTTCAATCTAATATATATGACTGATTTCTATTTGGTTTTGAAGCTCTTTTAAGATTCTTATTTTTATCATACCTGACCAGCAGTAGTGGGATTCCTAACTTAGTTCCAAGCAGATATTCTGAGCAAAGAATCGAATACATAGGCTTGAAATTTGGGCAGAACAGGCATTCCACAAATCCCTGCTCATGGTCCCCCTTGGACTCCTTCCCCCTGGTAGCAAGGATCTATTGAAGAACCTACTGAATTAATCATCCTTGGGGAAGGGACATCAAACAGAGGGATGTCATGACCTCTACTATATATATACATATAACCGGAGAAAGAGATTTTGTAATTTAGAGTAAGTCATAAACTCAAATGCCTACAGGGGCTAGGCAGGAGGGGAATTAAGTTTCACTTCTTGAGGGGAAGAATATCAAGAATCTGTGGATATATTTTATTTTTTAAATTTTTTTAAAGATTTTTTTTATTTATTTGAGAGAGAGAAGGAGATAGAGAACATGAGAGGGGAGAGGGTCAGAGGGAGAAGCAGACTCCCTGCTGAGCAGGGAGCCCGATGCACTCGATTCTGGGACTCCAGGATCATGACCTGAGCAGAAGGCAGTTGCTTAACCAACTGAGCCACCCAGGTGCCCTGTGGATTTATTTTAAAACCACCACATTCTACCTTCTGGTCACAAATTATTTACATTCTTCACACATACAATATACACCTCTCTCAAGGCCCTGAAAATCCTCATCCCGGTAGAGCATCAATCAGCTAAAAGCTCAAAATTCTACTGTGTTGTGAGGAACTAAGTCCGCGTGGGGTCTTTAAGGGTTATTCCAATAAAGCTGTGGGAACTGCATTCAGAGAGGTATACAAAAGTGAGGATTCATTATATCCACAAGTCCTAGAAGAGGGAGGCATGATATTCCACATGGAGACGACATAGGAGGAGTGCCCAGAGAGCAGCCTCAACCCCGCAGACGGGGAGCTGAGAGAGTGAGGACTCACGGCCAAGTGCCTTTATTGGGGTCAGGGTGGGGCACACAAGCAAACGTATGAGGAAATTTCGGGGCATCTGGGTGGCTCAGTCATTGAGCATCTGCCTTCGGCTCAGGTCATGATCCCAGGGTCCTGGGATCGAGCCCCAAGTGGGGCTCCCTCCTCAGCGGGAAGCCTGCTTCTCCCTTTCCCACTCCCCCTGCTTGTGTTCCTCTCTCGCTGTGTCTCTTTCTGTCAAATGAATAAATAAAAATATTTAACCAACCAACCAAACA